GCCCCCGACCCCATCTGTGGAAAAATTGTCTTCCATGAAACCAGTCAGGACTGCTGGTAACACGTGCCTGTGGTCTCAGCTACTTGGAAGGCTGAGGTGGAAGGATGGCTTGAGCCTGGGAGGTGGAGGTTGCAATGAGCTGAGATCATACCACTTACTCCCACCGCAAAGAATAGATTGTCCAAAAGAACACAAAAACAACACGACACAACAAAAAAAAACATCCAGCACGTGCTCAATATCGTAATTACCAGCCACTTAGAGGCGAGGTGGGTGGATCTCCCTAGGTCAGCGTTCAACGACCTATCCTTGCCAACACTTGGAAAACCCCTATCTCTACTAAAAAAATACAAAATATAGCTGGCATTGTAATGTGCCCATAGTTTCCGTTGCCGGGAGCTAGGTAAGAAATCCTCAAACCTGGGAGCCGAGGTTGTAATGACCCAGAAGGGTCCATTGTTATGACAGCCTCCTACAAGCGCAAAACTTCATTTAAAAAAAAGAAAAAAAAAAGCAAAACCCATAAATGCCCACACATTGGAATTACAGGCAAGAGCTTAAAGAAACTAAATACATACTTTAAAGAATTAGAGAAATATCAATACGGTGACGATGGTAAAAGAAATTTAGAGAATTAATTTTTAGAAATAAGCATCACTAAATATCATGGGTATGCTATTTCTAAACTAACTCACTTCCAACAGAATCTAAAATTAACATGCAGCATTCTTATCATATTTACACCAGGCTCTACCGCCAAGCCAAGCAGGAGAAAGTTCCACGAGCTCCTATCTTCGCAGCAGGTGACCTAACTAAGACAGGCTGGCCAGGGGCAATTGTGCATTGGATGGTCAAGATCCCAGCACCTTCCAATTTGCAAAGGGTTTGCCGACCTCATACAATACAATTATTTTTATTTAATATTTTTTCTAAAGCAACTCTAAAATTTACCTTTATTTGGAAATATAAGATTCCAGAGAACACTTCAACAAGAGGCACAGGACTTTCATGGACTCCTCACTCCGTTTTCCTCCCAAAGCCGTTTAACATGTTTATATTAGTGTCAACACGTACCTCTAACCCCACAATGTCACATGTCAGGTCTATGCATTTTGATACATTATGGAACTCTTCACCACCACTGCAATCAAGATAGCAGAACTGTTCCACACACCACGAAATCCCTCCTGCATCTCTGCACTCATTCCTGGCTCTTCCCCTCCATTATTCCTACTCTTGGCAACCACTAATCTGCTTTCTGTCTTTATAATCTTGTCACTTCAAGAACATTACATAATGCAAAAATTAGGCAGGCATGGTGGCACAAGCTTGTAGTTCCAGCTACATGGAGGCTGAGGCAGGAGAATTGCTTGAACCTGGGAGGTGGAGGCTACAGTGATCCTGCCACTGCAGTCCAGCCTGAGAGACAGGGTGAGACTCTGTCTCAATGAATGAATGAATGAATGAATGAAGGCCTGGCATGGTGGCTCACACTTATAATCCCAGCACTTTGGGAGGCTGACACAGGTGGATCAGTTGAGGCCAAGAGTTCAAGACCAGCCTGAGCACATGGTGAAACTCCGTCTGTACAAAAAACAAAACAAAAAATATCCGGCATGGTGGCATGCACCTACGGTTTCAGCTACTTAGGAAGTGAAGTAGGAGGATTGCTTTAGCCTGGGAGGTCGAGGCTGCCATGAGCCATGATTGTACCATTATACTCCACCCTGGGTGACAGAGAAAAGCCCTGCCTTAAATAAATGAATAAAAGGGAATTTGTGATCAGTGGTTCTCAAAGTGTGGTCCCTGAGCCAGCAGCATCAGCATCACCATCACCTGAGAACATTAGAAATGCAGATTCTCAGGCCCCACCCCAGACCTCCTGAATCAGTACCTCTGAGGAGTGGGTTCAGTGATCTGTGGTTTAACAAGCCCTCCCGGTGAGAATCGGTCTCATTTACTACAAATAGAAGGTAATGCTAAAAATAAATGCATCTGCGTATCACCTGAAACCCTCTTGTGGGCCCCAGGCTCGCACACCACACTTTCAGGCAGGAGCCCCACCCACAGAGGCTATGACAAGAATGCTCCTGCCCCTGGGGCTGTGCAGTGACAGCTCACACAGCTCCACATGGTGCTTCTGAGTTTGGGAAGCACTGATGCAGTCCTACCACAGCCCTCCCTGCCCTTCACTGGACTGAGAAAATCCAGGCTCTGAGGAGGGCGAGACTTGCCCAAGGTCACCCAGCAACATGGTCAGTCTCCTTTCCCAGGGCCTCACAATGCCTGGCCTGTTTAAAGCCTGCCTCTATTCACTGCTGAGTGAAAACTCCAGCTCCAAAACAGAATATGGGGAAGGATACTATCTTGGGCAGCTTATGTTTATAGCTGCAGATACATGGGGAAAAAAGTCCAAGAATACTGTTGAAGCAGTTATTTAGGAAGAGAAGGGCTTTGCTGGTTTGTGTTTTTAACTTTTCTGTATTTCATAACTTTTATCATAATAATCATGTTTAGTTACATAATCAAAATGTATTAAATATAATAATAAAAATCAACATGAAGCCTGATCCAGCCAC